TGACCATTAATATTTAAGGTCATAACTAATGAGTCAATAAAACGGGCATTTTCTGTTTAATAGTGGAATGACACCACCCTTAAAGCTTAAAATTACACTAAGACTTTTGGGGCAACCTGTCTATTGCTAAGACTTTAACTTGCCTCACCTTTTGGTCTCGTGTGGGATACTGCTTTCCTCTCATAAATTTTTATCAATAGAATTTCACGTATAGGAAAAATTACACCTTGAAAAGAATCTTAATTTTAAAATGATTTTTACAACATCACATGAGTCTGCTCAGGTTGTTAATTTATTTTACACATGGTTTAGTTTTTAGTTTTGGTAAAATGAACATTTTTAAAATGTCTCAAATTTCTGAAAAGCAAAAAAGTGTGAGATATGACAAAGTAAAAAAACTAATTTTTGAATGTGAGTAATAGATTTAAATCAAGCCTTATTTAAAGAGAAACATTTTTAGTATACTATAGATTTTAGGTATTCATGTCTCTTCAAGCAAGCAGTTATTAAGTACCAGGGACTGTTAGAATGAAAAGACAAAGGAAGTACAATCCCTGCTCTCATGGACCTTACTATGTATAGTCTAATTGGGGGTGACATGTACACATAAAGGTATGTACTAAATAAAAACAAAGTCAGATTTTCAGGAATTTATTAGCAGCTTGAGGGAGGTCAAGACCAAAAAAGGGTTTGTATAGGAGATACTTGAGCTGAGCCTTGAAGGCAACCATCATTTAATTCTAAGGGATGAGGGGGAGGAGAGAGATGCTTCCCAAGCCTGGAGGACAGCCAGTACAAAGGAACAGAAATAAGAGTGTCCCGTGTGAGAAAAATAAGGACAATTTGACTGTGTGAAGGCCAAACATTTGATCCTGGAAGTAATAGGAATCCCCTAGAGTTTGAGTAGAGGAGGTGTGTGGTCAGACTCACAAAATGCCTTTGGCAGGTGTGTGGAGGATAGATTGGAACACAAAGAGACTTGAAGTAGGAAGACCAATTAGGAATCTATTACAATAGTCCTGGCAGGAGCTGATGAAAGCCTGAACTGTAATGTACAGCTATTATACATATGTATATTATCTTTGGGCTCGTATGTATTTCGTGTTCCTGATTTTAATATTGTATTATTTTGTGTTCTCATCTTATCTCTGCCTTGAAGACTTCTTTAATTCTTTGAGGCACTTCTCAGGAATTAGCTTGCTTTCTGCAAGAGGCCTATCTTGATTTTTTTCACTCCCTCAGTTACTAGTGCCCTTTCCCTCCGAAATCACATTGTATTTGGGTTTTTTTTTTTTTGCATACTTGGCATTTTCTTATCTATGTTTGTGTTGTTTCTCCCTAATGTAATGTAAGCTTGTTTAAGCACTGGGACTCTGGTTGTTGTCTTTATGTCTCCAGCACCTAGCATAGAGCCTAGTACATAGAATTTGTTTATTAAATGCTTATTGAATTGATTGTTTTTACTTTTGTTAGACTAATGCTGGATTGCTTACCAATTTTTTTTTTAAACTTTTTTTTCCATTTACAATAGGCTAATATCCATATAACATCAGCCCTTATTATAAATCTTCCTAATAGTTATAGAACCATTAAATTCACAAACATAGTTCCTGGTCTTTTGTCGTTTTTCATCTGAGATAGAGGTGTCCCTCTCACCTCTTACCATTTCTGCAATGCAGCATTTCTCTTTCCAGGTGTATTGGACAGCATTTTGTCTTGACTTCTTTTTGCTTACATCTGTTTATCTTATTATCTTGACCTAGTGTGGTTTTATATTTTATATTTATATTTACTTGGGGTAAGTATGCATGTGCTTAGATGTATCGTGGTATAGTGGACAGAACATACGATTTGAGTTCAGAAGACCTTGGGCAAACCCTAGCCTTGAAACATATTAGCCATGTGACCTGAGAGGAGTTGTTGAACTTCTCTGAAGGTTCATTTATATAATAAACATAATATCTTATTTTACTTCATAGAGTTCTGAAGCAAGCCCTCTGTAAACCTCAAAATGCTGTAGAAATGTTAACAGTACTTATAATAAATAATAATTTATGATGCAGTGGGGTTTGCCATGGTCTCAGCTGTGTACACACATCTATCTATTTATATATGTAACAAATTAGGTGAAATTTTGCTAGTAGAATTTCCCAATTTGACAGAAAAAAATCTTGCCCCCTTACATGACTCTGTGTGACCATGAATTTCCATACCAGGAGTTCCCTGCATGAATAAAATTATATAACCCAACAAAAAAATATAATGCATCTCTTAATGTACACATCCTTTCTTAACACATGTAAAATGACCTGACCTTATTGCTGAAAACATTAGTGTTCAACTTTTGTGCTTTTTCTAAATTGAAAAATGTAAAATCTTCTATTAATTTAGTATTTTGTTGATGAGTTGGCAGAAAATAAAGTTTTCCTCCCCAGTTCCCAATGTCCAGCCCCTTCCTACCACCATTCCATTTACAGATGGCATCACTACTACATATGCCTAAATTATGAGAAAAAGCACTATCAAGTCAGAAGACTTGACTTCAAATCCATCTCTGAAGATAATACTATCTGTAGGACCTTGTGCAAATCATTTAACCTCCTTGGACCTCAGCTTATTCCCCTGTAAAAGACTGCCCATTCTAACTCAACATCTGTGGTCCTGTGACCTTATAGAACCCTAATTTTAGATAATCTTATTGATCTTGACTAAAACAAAGTGTCACAGGCTTCTTTGTAGCTCCTAACCTGGCAAACCACTGACTAGTGGAGAGGAAGGAATAAGACAAAGAATAGGCAGGCAGGTGGCCACATCTTCCCCTACTCTAATTATCAGTGCATAATCAGCCCTGCTTGTGTCATTAGGTATTTATTGCATATTGTTACTTCTGTGATATAAAGAGGATGGTCTTTTTAGTCACCAAATGGTCTTCCATTTAGGGTATATAAACTGCCCAGGCATTATGATTTATCACCCTCAGCCCCCTACCTCAAACATCAGGGTTCTGAGAACTGCATCACTTGATCAGCAGCATGCTGAGAAATTCTGGTTGCTGAGGTAATTATTTATAATATAGTAGTGGTAGGTGTTATTCTTTAGTGGTAAATGTTCATTTTGTTGTAGTCCTAATAAATGGAGTTTTTAAACACGTGACGTTAAAATGCATTGCATTTCAGTGTCTAAAATGTACTTCAATGTTTAATTTTCCTCTTTTAGCAATTTTATATTGTGAACTGACTGCTGATTGTTTTTCTGTAGGTTTTAGTGTTACAGATTTTTAGTACTACCTATTCCTCTTTATTTTTTTTAATTGAAAGGTTTTTTTTTTGTTTTCAATTAACAATTAAACTGATAAAGAAAAACAAAACCCATGTAACAAAAGCAAAACAAATTCCTTCATTGGCCATGTCTAGAAAAAAAAAGTCTCAACCTGCACTTCTTTGTCAGGAGATGTATCCTCTTTTATTTAAAAAACAAAACAAAACTAGTGTTTTACAGTCTTTTTAGAAGAGTGTAGAGGGAGCCATCCTTGGAAATAGGAGTATTTCACCTGTGACTAAATATAGTGGCTAATTGAAATCCAGATATAACCCTTTCTTTATAATAATATGAAGTTTTCTTGTAGCCAAAATGTGGAGCCTTGGAAATAGAGGCTACATATTAAATTAAACTCTGTATTAAAAGTTGTTTTTACTCCATTTTAAATGTTATTTGTTTTTGTTTAACTCATATTTCAAAGGCAACTAGAAGTATATTTTAGTATTGTCAGGTTTATACCTATGGTAGCTAGTTTTTGACCATTAAGCAGATTTGATTTTATATGATTTGGTGTTGTGTATTTCTGCCAAAATGAATGATAAACTTGCTACATTTAATTCCTTTTACCTTGGTACACAGAATGAAAAATGTCAGCTCTTGAGTTTATTCTAATTGCTGGATTGTATGGTTGTGTGTAATTCAAAACAATTGAATGACAAGAAATTGCTGTCAATACAAATTATATATTGTACTTGTTACTCCAAATGAATTAGACCAATGCCAATCTAAATGCATTTTTAACCCTTTATTTGCTCTTTGGAACATATCTTGTGTGGTTGTTTCATTAAAGAATAAGTTATCTAGTTTAATAATCCTCTATTTCTAATCTGAAAGTTTTATTTCTTTCAAAATCATTTACTGGGACTTTTAGCAAATATGTCTTTTCCCCAAAAAACTAAATAACATTTTATAATTGATATATCAAGGCTTGATTTCCAGGTAGTTCTAAATTGTAGATGACTTCACATTCAATCAAATTATTTTCCAAGAAGGGCAGATTTGTAGGTTTTTGGTGACATTGTTTTTAAGTTCTGCTGCTCCCTTTGCCTTGATCATTCATGGCAGAAATACCAAAGCCAAAGATATGCTCGAGTATGCCTGTTACTTCCTTATACCCTAGTCCTTTACTTCTGTCTTGAATGTGTCCGTATTATACTCAAGATTACAGTCATTGCCTTTTTTCTTTCACTTATCACGGCCACCACCTGGGAGAGAACTATTAACAATTCCGGCGGTGGGTTTTGGAGAGTGTTAGCAAGGGAAGAATTGGTAGGAGAGGGAGAAATAGTGAGCTTCAGGCCAAGCCCAAAGTGTGCGAGACCTAACAAAGTTTGTCATCACAGTTTGTGATTCTGTGTCTCTGGCTTTAGTCTTGACTTTAAAGTTTGGTCACTTGAGGGCTAGAGTATGGGAAAGCCACTGAAGTTTAAACTATTCTGTATATTTTTCTCTAACTTTTCACTTGGTCAATTCTCAGCACTCTTATAGTCTATACCAGTGGTTCTCAAAGTGTGTTCTGTGGGAGTTTCTCTAGGTATGCCATGAAATTTTTAATATTATATTACTTCAGATAAAAGAAGATTTATAATAAGTAATTTTGTTTAATATAAATTTTACTTGTCCAGCATACATAGTATGATAAGTATAGTATTCACAAAATAAACAAAACTTGCCTATTGCAGGTACACAATATCCTCAAAATACGCCAGACCTTGAACTCGCAAAGAACTCAACAAAAACAGCTGCTCTTACTGAAGGGAAACTGCGCATTTGTGAGTCTCTCGACTCTCCCATAGTGTTGCCAACTTAAAACATTTAGTGTGCTTCTTATTAAAAGAATACTGTGCCATGCCCCACCCCTCCCCCCCAAAAAAGTTTGAGAGTCATTGGCCTGTACCATGTAATCTAGCACTTGGTTGTGTGTGTGTGTGTATGTGTATATATATATATATTTCTCTGTCTTTTATTTATGTTTTCTCTCCTTATTTTCTAAGCTCTGTGAGGACATGTGGTTATCTCTTTTCTAATCCCCGTAGCACCTAGTGCTGTGCTAGACAGTAATGTCTGCTTAAGTAGTTGATGAATTGATTGTAGCAGGGAAATATAGGAGAGATTGTGATGTTGTGTTAGTGCTTGGTTTAAAATCTCTAGTTCTGGGCAGAAGCAGTATCTTTAAAAATATTAATTACAGATTTTAAACATTTAAGTACTTGAATTTTAAGTCTGACATATCCAAATCATTGTAAATAAACAACTTGCAACAAACTGCAAACAGTAGGATTAATAAGGAAACAAAGCTTAATGTTGCAAATAAAGTTATTATAATACTAACATTTTTTGCATTTTGTTTGTCTTCAAGCAAATGGTTATGAGCCTTAGAGTTTCTGAACTGCAAGTACTTTTGGGCTACGCTGGAAGGAACAAGCACGGGCGTAAACACGAACTTCTCACAAAAGCACTGCATTTGTTAAAGGCTGGCTGCAGTCCTGCTGTACAAATGAAAATTAAAGAACTCTATAGGCGGAGATTTCCCCAGAAAATTATGACACCTGCTGACTTATCTATCCCCAGTGTACATTCAAGTCCCATGCCAGCAACTTTGTCTCCGTCTACCATTCCACAACTTACTTATGATGGTCACCCTGCAACATCACCATTACTTCCTGTTTCTCTTCTGGGACCTAAACATGAACTGGAACTACCCCATCTTACATCTGCTCTTCACCCTGTCCATCCGGATATAAAACTTCAGAAATTACCATTTTATGATTTGCTGGATGAACTGATAAAACCCACCAGTCTAGGTAAGGTTTCAGTGGGCTTTAATAATGATTTGGATTATTTTGATCTCTGTGGGGGGAATTTTTTCATTTTAGAGTGCTTCCTTCTGTGATCATGATTAATTATCCATGAAAACTTACTTGATTAAGTTTTAACACCTAGCACAAGTATCAGCACTTATTTTAACTTTATTTAAAAATAAATGCATAAAAAAATTCTTAGGGATTTTTATTCTTTAGGAGGGCAGTTTGACTTAAGATGTAATCAAACACTTCTTAATCTGCTTCTGGTCAGTAGTTAAGAGTGGTAGTTGATGACAAAAGAAGACTCTAAAAAGATTAAATACAGGAAGAAAACCAACCTAGAACTTAATATTTAAAACTATTTATTAAAATATTTATATATGTAAGCTTTAGTGATTAAAAAGTTTAACTAAATAATGTTTAAAATAAGTTTCTGCTAATACCAGTTTCTGGATTCATTTTTTTCCTTTTAAGATTTGATGACATCCATAACAGATGGTAAATGGTTTTAGTCATCTAATAGAAGTTTTTATATTTAGATATATGATCTAAACAAACTTGTGATCCATTGGAGCTTCTGTATTAACAAAAACAATATTTCAAGTTAGTTCTCAAATTGTGTGTGTGGATTGGTAGGTAGATATATCCATGTGTTGGCTTCTTATACAGAATCATAATTATATATAACAAGTACAGTGAAATTATATTCGTTGAATTTTTTAATCTTATGTCCATCATATCATAGTTTATAATATCAGAATTTAGATTTTTATATTACTGTTCTGTATTAAATATAGCTGGCTTTATTTGATTGCCTTACTTACCTAGGTATATTACTTTTATTTTTATATCATTAAACAGTTGTTATTCTATAATACTGGTAATTGGATTTAAGAAATATTAAAGTGCTGTCTTTTAGCTGAGTAGGATTTTGTAAAGTTATTATAACTCATTTGAATAGATGAAGATTCTACGAACTATTTTTAACATAATTTCTGCTCTCTTTCCTACTTGATCTTAAAATCACTCAAGTACCAAGGGCGGTTTTTTTGTTGTTGTTTTTTTTTTTTATTTTTTGATTATAATTGTGTTTATTTTTTCCTTTAGCTCCCAACCTTCAAATGATTTGCTGGTCTTTGTGTAAAACAAGATTCTGATTCATTGTTGTTATAAATACCAGTTGGCAATATAATCAATTGATTCTTGACCCTAGTACTTGATTTTTGTACAGTAGAAATATAATCTAAAACAGATTTTTAAAACTAATTGTTAATAGATGAAATAGATCCTATTTGCTTAAGAGTTACTATAAATACAATTTTTCAGAGTCTGAAAGGGGATTGAAAGGAGTATCATAGGATTAAGATTGTAGTTGCATATTGATTATCCTTTAGTGTCTAAATGGTATCTATTAAGCTAATAAAAGCTTCATCCCAAGGGGCAGCTAGGTGGTACAGTGGATAGAGCACCGACCCTGGAGTCAGGAGGACCTGAGTTCAAAGCCGGCCTCAGATGCTTAACAGTTACTAACTGTGTGACCCTGGGCAAGTCACTTAACCCCAATTGCCTCATTTAAAAAAAAAAAAAGGCTGCATCCCAAAACAAATAAAAGATTTCCAAGTACGTCATAGGTCTAGAGCTGGAAGGAACCTCACAGGCAATCTATTCCATAGTCTCCTAATTTTATGGATGAGGAAACTGCGATGCAAGCAGGTGAAGTGACCTTGCTCAAGATCACACAGAGAGAGAGAGTTAGGGTTGGGAGTCAAACTCAGGTCCTCTATCTCCAAGCTTATTGTTCTTTCCGTTATACCGTACTGACTCTCTAAAATTCATAGGATCGTAGATCTAGACCTGAAAGGGACCTTAGAATCATCTAGTCCAGCCCTATCAATATTTCAAATGAAGTTGAGGCTAAGAATCATTAAGTGACTTCCCTAAGGTCCTACAGGTAGTAAGCAGTAGAGCTGGAATTCAAACCCAAGTCCTCTGACTCCACATCTAGTGAGCTTTCCATTGTACTCTATGCTTCATCCCTCTCACCATTTTTTACTAAAATATTTTAATTGTATTAAAATATTTTAATTATACTTACTGTGACTTCTAGTTGTGTTAAAAGCATTCTGCATTCATTTTCATGCATTAGCCAGTGTAGTCTGACTTAATCATAATTCATATCTTGTCATGTTATATTGCTTAAATAATACTAGAAGTTACTTTTATTGGTTTGAACTTTTAAAATATAGAAATGCATAAAATGTATCTTCGGAATATAATATTAAGAAATCTAAAGCAAACATCTCATGAGAGTCCATTTTGATGATTTCTGAAAATGTTTTTACTTTCTGTTCCTGTTATAATTTTCTGTTTAATATCCTTGTATGTCCCCTTCTGGTTAGTTGTTAATATATAACTTTTTTTTTTTTCATCTTATTTATCAGGAGACATGAAAAAATGCATAGGAGGAGATGTCCACATACTATAGGGGCTTAATGGATGCTTGTTGAATTGACCTGAATTGCAGTGTATTATGTTAGACATTGGAAATATTGGAATGAAAAAATAACCAGCTCTCTGTCCTTGAAGAACTTTGCAGTCAAGGAGGGGGAAAGGCATTTATACAGATTCATCATCTAGCATTAAGTGCTTACTGTGTGCCAGGCATTGTGCTAAGTAAGCACTGGGTTACAAAAGAAAGGCAAAAATAGTCTCTGTCCTCTAGGAACTTGCAAACTAATGAGGAAGACAACATGCAAATAAATGGTTACATACATGAATAGGAAGGCATAATAAGCTTGATTGTGATATGTGCATATATAAAGGAGAAGTCAAGTAGTGATAAATGAGAAATTGGAAAGGGAGGAGGTACTTCTAGGACAATTAAGGATGGTTCTTGGAGGAGCCTGAAGTTATCTTGAAAGAAGAAAACCATTCCAGCGGGATAACTTTCACAAATATAGGCAGATAGAAGAGGGGGGTAAATAAATGACCAGTTTGGCCACAATATGGTGTTTTTAGAGGGTAATATGAAATAAGTTGGGAATTAGAGGATCTTCAATACCTGGAAATACTCTGATTTTAGATTTTTTTTTTTAAAGATTAAATGGAAAGCTCAATTAGAAAAATGTTTAAGGAAAAAAGATTGTGTTGCCCAAGTATACATACATACAGAAAATATATATACTTACTTGCTCAAATGATCCCATTCCATCCCATCTCCTCCAGCAAATTGCCCTGTTTGTCATCTACACTCGTTCACTTATTTTTATATCTACCTCTTTACTGGTTCATTTCCTACTGCTTACAAACATTTGCACGTCTCCCCTATCCTGAAAAAAAACCCTCACTTGATCTTTCCTACCCACTGTCATCCTATATCTCTTCTGCCTTTTGTAGCTGAACTCCTTGAAAAGGCCATCTATGAAAAATGCTTCCACTTTCCTTCCTCTCACTTTCCTCTCTTAACCCCTTATAGTCCTGCTTTCAACCTTATCATCCCACCAAAACTCCTCGAGAGAGGAGACTAAGAAGTCGCCAAATCCAATGGCTTTTTCTCCATTCTGTTTTGCTAGGTCCTCCTCCAGATCATGCCTTCTAACTATAGGTATCACACATTCTTTCTCTCTCTCTCTCTCTCTCCCCCCCCACCCCCAATCCAATCTGTTGTCAAGGCCTGTTGATTTCACCTTTGCAACATCTCTTGAAAATACGTTCTCCTCTGACACTGCCACCACACTGGTGTAGGCCCTCATCACACCTAGATTACTTCAAGAGCCTGTTGGTGACTTTGCCTGCTTCAAGTCTCTCCCTATTCCAATTCATTCTCCTTTGAGCCACTGAAGTGATTTTCCTAAAATGTAGTCCATCCTTCTCCTCCCCCCACCCCCCACATACTCAGTAAACTCCAGTGGCTTTCTGTTGCCTCCAGGAACGAATACAAAACGTTCTGTTTTGACATTAAGTCCTTCATAGCTTAGTTTCTTCTTGCCTTTCCATTCTTCTTATACCTTACTTCCTGACACATACTCTTGATCCGGTAACATTGGCCTCCTGACTGTTCCACGAACAAACCCTCTGTCTCTTAGCTTGGGCATCCTCTTTGGCTATTGTCCCATGCCTAGAATTCTATTTCTTCTGACCTCCCTGGCTTCCTTTGAGTCCCTAACTTAAATTCCATCTTTCAGGGGAAGCTTTTCCCAATCCCTTTTAATTCTAGTGCCTTCCCTCTGTTGCTTGTTTCCTGTTTATCTTGTATATAGCTTGCTTTGTTTATATTTGTTTGCGTGTTGTCTCCCTCGTTAGATTGTAAGCTCCTTGAGGACAGGTACTATTTTTGCCTCTTTTTTGTATCCCCAGTGGTTAGCACAGTGCCTGGCACATAGTAGATGCTTAATAAATGTTTATTGATTGATTGATGGTAGCCTGGCATGATATTGTTTGTTTTACTATTGCTTTTTGTTTTTTCATCAGTTTTCCTCTGTAGTATACCCTTTCCTTTATTGAAGGTTTGGTGGTACTGGACTGAATTCAGGAGAGGGACAGGGACTGGATATTTAGATATGGGAGTGCTCTGTAAAGAGATGATGTTTGGACCCATGGGAACTAATGAGGTCAAAGGACATAAAGAGAATGTCGAGAGAAGGAGACTTAGGACAAAACTGTAGAGGGACACTCACAGTTAAGAATTATGACATGAATGATGACCCAAAAAAGGAGACTGAGAAGTAATGGTCATGTAACTTGGAAGAAAGCTAAGAGACAACAGGAGGAAAGGGAGGGAACAAGCATTTATTTAACCTCTTTTGTGTGCCAGGCACTGAGCTAAGCACTTTACAGTATTATCTCATTTGTCAAATAAATCTCAGCAGTGTCACAAAAACTCAGAAAGTAGAGCATATCCAGGAGTGGAGAGTGGTTAGTGTCAGATGCTGCTGAGAAGTCTAGAAGGATGAGAATTGAGAAAAGATCTTTAGATTTGGTATTAAGAAATCTGTAGTAAC